AATTTACAATTTCTGCGTTTGTTAGCATTGCATGAACTGGCAATGTACGTATCTTAAAATCTTTCGATCCATTAACCGTATAATAATTAAAAAGAAAAATAAATGTTGCGAAATTCTTTAAATATTGGTATAATAAACTTGGCATTTTTTTTATTTTATGCTGTTCTAGTTAATTTCGCTTTATTTTATTTATTTATTAGTCTTGCTTTGTTAGAAAATAACTCTATAGAAGTTACACTAGATGAACAAAAATATTACGAAATAATACAAAATAGTACCTATATTATGTTGTTAATATATTAAATCCTATAGTAATCATAAAGCGAATTAATGGGACCCTTTTTTCTTTACACTTGTAAAAATTTGAAAAAACTATTTTTTATACAAAGATTTGAGTTTATATAAATATTTAAAAGAAAAAAAACATAAAAAGAAGAAATACGAAGGATATTATTAAAAACTATTTTTGATTAATAATACACGGAAAGCGTAAAAAATCTATGAAAATTCACTGCAATGTTATCACACCAACTAAAATAAAAAACAAATCGTTGATTGACTGTATAGCAAAGAATGTCTTAGAAAAAATCCATCCATCATCAGAGTCTCTACATTCTCTGCAAAAACCATAAGAATTATCAATTTAAATTACGACTTTTATTTATTACGTCATTGGATTATAAATCTTATGAAATTCTTTTAACCTATTTTGAACATTGTTAATTTACATTTTTTTTTCAATTTTTATATTATATAATCATAGTTTTTTCAATCTATGAATAAATCATAAGGTTTACATTTTTTTAATATGAACGTTAAAAGAAATGTATTTTCTATTAAACTATCCTAAAAGTTAGTAGTATATACAGTATTAAATTTTGTAATGTACCTTAAATTATATATATTGTTATTATTTCGAAGGAAATTTATATTGTTATCTAGAAACACAGATTTTTCATTTAATTTGATAATCACCTCGAAAATAAATATAAACACCTTCACGCACTTTATCGATTCTGATTCGCGATGAAGATTTTTGCCCAAACACTATTATCGCGAGTCTGACTCGTGATCAGATACTTGGGTTCGTATTGTAACTATTTACGAACAGTTTACAAGCAAACATCATTTTAGTCTGTTTAGCGCTCGTCCATGCCTACCGCTTGGATTCGAGTTTCGTCGAGCTAAAAGGCACGAGAAGGGGTAAAGCACACATTTTATTCTTTACAAAATTCATTTGAATCTCATTTATTAATCGTTTTTTATATGACTGTTTCATAGATACAACGAATGTAATATTGCAAGGAAATAGAAAGTACTTTTCTCTTATAACTAATTAATTACATATGCTGCATGTGCCTCAAATGATCACAATAAATTGAGAAAAAATCATCCAAATAGATTAGTCAAGAAACTTATTAAATATTTTATCTTAAACATTGCAATAATACAGAAAAAAAATCCTAAAATCCTTAAAATTTCGAAAAAAAATTACATTATAAACATCTTTAACTGTTACACTTTTTTTCTGCATTAGTGCAACCTTTTCCCCATCAATGTTTTCATAAAAATTTCAAAAGAATTTTAAAGAGTCATGAAAGCTTAGTGGTTTCTATTTTCTCTGCTAGATTTTGATGTCCTGCTTGTCTTGTAATAAATGATTTGTTAAATAAATTTATATTAAAATTTTTGTAAACAATTCATCAGTATTCTTATTTACCTAATAGATCTAGATTTGTCGCAACTGCGATACGAATATCTTATCTTATATAGCGATTTATTTTTATTCCAAATATCATTATAAAGTTTCCATTTTTAATTTATTTTGTAATTTACTTTCAATGTAAACAAGCTATAAAAAATCTGCTACCCGGACAATTGTAATATGACGTTCGAACTAATGTTCGTGCGTTGTTATAGAAATCGATGATTGTCTAAAATAAAATAAAATGCTTGTTGTGAAACAAAGATTCTAAATTTTCGGTTTTTTACAAGCATTGAAGTAAAAATTCAAAGTCGAACAGACAGTTTTTGATTGTTACTGTGTTACCTAAGTTGGATATGAAAAAAGAGGAAAAATGGAATTTATATGCGAGTAAAAATTATGATACATATTCATTTTCACAATTATAGTATTTATTTTATTATATTCATTCAGAGTTAATATAATTCTTTAAATACCTATCCACGTTTTCCGATTCAGATGTACAAAAAAGAAATCTTTTTTCTGATTTGAAACACTAATTATTTCTTTTTTTTTTTTTAACATAATCGTTAGTATCCGATGGAAAAATATTATGAAAATGAAAAAAAAAAAAACGGGTGTGGGCGCTTATATATGTACGCACGTAATAAGTAATAGTACGTTGGCATAACAAAAAATAAATTACTCCAGAAATTTAATCCTTTATGCTAACACTCTACAATTATAGAAAATAAGATAAAATAATAAAAAATGGTATTATATCATTTAATGAAGTTTTAATTAATAAGTATATTCTAATTTAAATAACGTTCACTCATACATCATTAAAAAAATTATATTTATATTATATTATATATAATAGTCATATATATATATAATAATACCAACCTATCTTAATCGGCGTGATTTTATGACGTTAACAATGTCAGATTTGTTGTACAATCGATGTACTTATACGTTATGGAGTTTTCTTCATTCGCCCGTTTCCGAAGATTTTACGAAGAACTTTTTTACGAAGGATTATGAAAACCCTAAATTCCTTTTCGTCCCGTAACGTAAGCGACAACGATTCGCTACCATAAAGGACCACCGGAAGGTTGATTGTCCTGTATATCCTATTTTTTAATCGCCCAGACAGCAATTGCGAGCTGAGTAATTTTTTAACCGAATAAAAACATGAATTCCCTAAATTGATTCTTTTGTTAACCCTTTCGCTACTACGAGCGACTATAGTCGCTCTCCATGTGATGCCTCTCAGGTACTACGGGCGACTATAGTCGCTTTCCATGTGATGCCGCTCAGGTACTACGGGCGACTATAGTCGCTCTCGCTGAAGATGTCGCGTAATTGTATATGTTCGGTACCAAACCATGTGTAGACGATAACTTATATTCAATTATTTTTTCATATATTAAATTTCATTTGAAGAAAACCATATAGGCAGCAGGTATAAGGTACTTTCTACCAAAACATTAAGAAATTCCGAAGGGCCATAAATTGCCAAACTATCTCAATAATCAAAGAAACATATGGTGCAATAAAAACCCGTCATTTCGTGTCGTTCCCTTTGAAGGTTTCTGATTCTTATCTAAGCATGTACGATATCATAAAAAGAAATAACATTCTAGATCACATTTTTCTATGCATTGTGTCCCTTTCCCAAAACTTCATGTCGCTGTACTCAAATGAATCAACAAAACGTAAGAACCCGATGCGAAAGTGTGTAGTCTGTACTAAAAATGATAAGAGGAGGGAATCGCGATATCAATGTAAGATTTGTGATGTTGGCCTATGCGCAACACCGTGTTTTGAAAAATACACATTGATACATACGCAATGATGTCATACATATGTCGATGTTGTTGCCGAATTTCTTAGTAGTTGATGACGTTTAATTTTTTTTTTCACCCCCGGGATTTGAACTCGGGAACAAACGTTTGGAATAAATTAGGAGCAGCTGACAAATTCCATTCAAAAGCAAGTAAATTACTGTCACATTTCTATATTTTGCTTCTTTATAAAATATATTTGATGCATAAAGACAAAATATGTCTATTAAATTTGATTTTTATATGTTTTTATGAAAAATATCCAAAGAGATGTACTGACCCATGCATATATGAAAATTATATTACAAATTGTGATATTTGCGTATTTAAGAAACTTATACTAATTTTTCAATAAAATAAAAAAATTTTTAAGATGTTAAACGCCCAGCGTGAATCGGTGGAGCTTACCACGGGGCCTAAATTTGAGACTCGTAGTGTACACAGTTCGATAAGCTGAGAGAGCGATACGATTCAATGCATTTTTTAGATTTTTCGTTGTTCAGATCTTTATCTAGACTTGAGTATTTGGAAAGATAAGTTTGTGGTCCAAAGAATAAGGACGAGATATGTTATAAATAATATGGGTCTCGAAGTGTGGTAGGCTACAGAGTTGAAAAAACATTTCTAGAGAATATCTTTATTAGATCTTTCATTGCATTTTACCAGAACCTTCGTTCATTCCAGCAGTATTTTCCACATGTTTTTCGTAACGTCTTTATTTCATCTATCCTAAAATGTTTGTTATATAGCGCAAGAATTTAGATGAAAACGGGAAATAAAAAACCAATACTAACAAAAAAAGTTTTATACATGAGTTTCAAAAAAAGGATTATTTATTTTTACCTAATTTCTGACGAATTATATTTCCTTTGATAAACATCCTACCATTTTGGTGACTATTTATAACTATCGCATTCAGCATTCCGTTTTCATTGCTTGAATTGTGAAAAGTGCACTTTTTATCAGCTATTCCACCCAGAGACCATACCGGTGACCTTTATTATATATAGTAATAATATTATAATAAATAAATAAAACTGTCCATTCGTCTCATTCTCTCGAAACTTAGATTTTTGAAGGTTTCACTTCTAACACGTGTGATCTGCACACATGATTTTTTTTAGAAATCTTTTTGAAAGACTTAAAGCTTTCCAAGAAATGTTTTAGAAAATTTTTAGATAGTTTTTATGTTATGTGGATAATCACGGAAGATTGATTTTATAAAAAATATATAATAAGGACAATAAAACGATAATCGAATTATTAATTAAACTCAAGTAAAGTATAATTGGTAAAGTATGTTTGTAATAGATTTTCAATTAAACAGAATAACACACTGCAAGGTTGACCGAGAAGCAGAAATCATTCCTAATAGATTTGTAACAATATTGAATAGAAATAATTATATTCTTTGCTTTATCGTGATCGTTAGATTATGATAGAAGAATAGTATAGGAAAAATAAATATAAAATAACCATGTTTTTTAATTTAAGTATTTCATTCCTTCCTTCATCAAGTTAATGTACGGCAATTCGAACATTAAAGATACTATGTAAGAGCATATGTAAATTAATACTACGTTTCCTAGACCTAAAATTCCCTGCGAAATAAAGCAGAATGACATGATGATAATTAATTAGAACTAATTTAATCAATTGAAATAATTTAAAAATAAAGAATAATACATACGAGCAATGGAATATTAAAGTGAAGGGAAGTATCATTCAAAAAGTTTACAGAACTTATAACAATTGGATTTATCAAATAAGCTGCGTAAGTCAATCGACTAAAAGGGATCCAAACTTTCCACGAAAGAATACTGTTCACTATACCTTAAATATAAAATGATTTAGTTAATAATGATTAGTCGTGTCGAAATAATGAATAGAATCAGATATTTATTTATACCTCCATTATTTGTACAGCATGCTATTAATAGCCATGCAATACCAATTGCCCATACAGTTCTACTGAGAGCAACGTAAATAGCAGCATTTAAAACTGATATTCTTCTCTCATATAATCCAAACAATACTAATAAATTACATAAACTAGCTAGTATCGAAAAGAATATTATAGTTTTCTAAAATCAATAATATCAACATTAGAGTAATCATCAACATCATCAAAAAAATTATTTGATAATGAAGTATTTGTAAGCGCCAAACGATCAGAATATTTGCTTACTTTTTTCCATAATAATTTGTTGTTTAATTTGATAACAATAAACGCAGTTATCACGCCTACTAGGGAAGGTCCTATCCTAATCCATGGTGGATAGTATATTACGTCCATTAAATTTATTATCTTATCCACTCTGTAATACAATCTAACGTTAATTTATTAATAAATAAACTTTTTCATTTAAGTGTACTTTTGAACGAGTATCTCTCTATAGAAATTTGCTCGTAGTTATTTATCCTTAAATAGAATAAAGCCCATATATACGGTGATTTACCAAAGTATTTGAACACTTGCAATGAAATTTATTATTACGTGTAGTAGGTATATTATACAGTACTTATCAGCATATTATTAACATTGGATAGATGTAGGAATCCCTAGATTATAGAAGTACAATTTCTAGAAAATCAGAATATATGTTTAATTACTATGATTAGATGATGATAGTTATGATACTTAAAGTATGCAGTTTCCTATATCTAAGAGTTGCAGAAAAGTTATTAAAATATACGCATATTCGTTTACATGATGTTATTTGTACCGTAAGTGGTCCTATTGAATATTAAAGACTTAAAAGTTATCTGTTCAAACACATTTATGATTCCAGCAATCTTTATATTAATAAAAGTTAAATAAAAACTATTAAATATATGGACTGTTTATTTAGAAAGTGGTGTAAGTCCATTTAAAAAAAAAAAAGAGATATCCTGTAATTTATGCTTAATTTAATGTAAACTTTTTACTGATAACTAGTTACTATTTAATTTCTTAAAAAGTGCCTATGTTTTGTACAATTTAAAATTGGTCGTTAAAGAAATTGAGTGAGAATTAATATGCAAACCTTTAATTTTCTCGAAACAAAAGAAAGGGAACTTACACCACTTTCAAAATAGACAGTCCATATATTTCTATTTACCTAAAAATTTTTATCTATGTAATATAGAGAGTCTTATCTGCATTCAATGTTAATAATATATTGATAAGAATTGTATAATAAACTTATAATATTTAATAAAATATTTCATGACAAGTTTTCCAATACTTTAGTGAGTCATTGTAGGTCGATCAATTATAAATATGAGCCATTACAAGGTTGACTAATATGTAATAAGCTAATAAAAAAAAAAAACTTAAAGCTTCTATGCATATTTAAGTAGAAATATACTACTATAGAAAATTTTTACAAATCTCGTTTGTTTAAGACATTGCATAAAATGTCCGTTACTTCTATAATTCACAGTTTTTAGAGCAAAAGCATAGAAATCTCAAGACTTCATGGTTTTTTTTAATTACAATAGCTTCAGATTTCTCCCCTTTTGGCATAAAAAATATTTCAATGTGAATACCATTTTACAGATTAAACAACAACATTTTTGCATTCTGTAAAATAACCTAGCAATCTATAAAATAACCCAACAATCTGTAAAAGACTTGCTCATTATGCATAATTCCCGCTTAAAGTAAACTTTCTATAGAATGATCGCCAAATATGTATTACTACAAATATGTATAATAATTAGTATTATTACTTACGTAGGCACATAATTATAGATGTAGGATATATAGCCTGTAAGAATTATTGATGAGGTAAACAATAAGCCCAACAAACTAGCTGCTATCTTGAAATACCTGGAATACAAATATGTTTAATTAATTAAAATAATTTACGCGCGCGCTTAAAAAGAATTTTTATATAAAAACAATGTTTTATAAAATGTGAGTTGCCTTACGTTGAAGATAAGTATAACAGAAAATTGATTATGACGAAGTATTGCATATCGTTCGCCAAGTACCAGCTCCAACTCATACACTGCAAAGATTATTATTGATAAGAAATGTTATACCTCTTATTAATTAATTTATACTAAAATAATTGAAATTTTTCATACCATATTCTGCAAACTAAATAAATTTTGAATATAAAGAAAATTTCTCCACCAATAGCTTTGACAATTTTCGTGGTTACGTTCCATTATGGGAAAGAGGGACGTTTTACTGTACCACGTAGTAATTATTTGCAATAATCCTATAATTATCATGTAAGGAGGTGTCAATCTAAAATAGCAGAAGTAATGAAAAATAGTGAGATATTCTAAATAATTACATTTCTATTTTTGATCCAATTAATGTAAAAACCCATGAATATTTGCTATTCCGATATATAATTAAAAATAATTTAATACAGTTCAGGTAAATTTAAAAAAATATATCTATTTTTATATGATTTATATTTAATATTTTACGGGCAATGTGTACAATTCAAAAATTGTGCAGAATATCCAAAAGGTTTTAGTCAATTCGTACAATGTAGTTCAGTTTGTTGTGTTAGGAATACAATAAGGGAGAAACAAAAGTTTTTACCATCCTTAGATTTCAAAAATTTATGAATAAATTACTTCAATTATATTAGATATGTAGCATTTAAATTAATGATCTTACCTTATAAACCTTTTCAGGAGAGCGATAAAATATAATTTTATTACATTTAAATAATTATTCGGTTCATGTATATTCTTGATCGTGTATTTTTTAAAATACAAGTAAGCGACCAGAAAACTACCAAAACAAAAAAACGTATCAACTCCCGTAGTCCCATTTATAATCACTTGAGTGAAGAAACCGTCTAAGTTTCTTACAAGAATTTGCTTATTATCTTTAAATAAATATAGAAAAATATTATATTAATAAAAAAAAACTAAAAGAAAATTAACTAAAATATCTTATTACAAAATAAATTAAATTCTGTCTAATTTGTCTATACTTTACCATAAAAATACTCTAAATAGAGACACATGTGCACCAAAATAATCCATATCATCGTAAGAAATCTTATTCCGTGAATAGCCAGAATATCTGAATCCTCAGATTTCGTACTAAATATTATTTTCGTGTTCGAATATACGGAAAAAGCTATAAATATTTTAGAAAAAAATCTATGGTATTTTAATTTTTTCATATGATTCTTGTTACTATTGTCTAGCGCTTTTGGGTCTTCTAAAAACATTAATATTATGATATTAAATAATTATCAGTTTATCTGAAAGGACAAACTATTATAACCCTTTTGTTACTAATTACTAATACACTTATCCCCTTCATGCAAAGGTTTCGTATAAACTACTGCAACATATAGGAGTCGAACACTATAAGACGATACGGTTCGTAGAAAGGAATTTTCATGGAATGATATTAGCGTAAAAGTGTATTATAACAAAAGGGTTCAAATTATTAAATAAATTTACCTATAGTTAGAGAATTATCATTTGTAGGTTTTTGAAGGTACTTTTCATCTTTCTTTAAATGTTTTTGGTATATCAATACATCGTATGCTGTTCCTATTATCATTAATAGGAATGTTAGTACAAGTATTAATCTAAAAAAAGAAAACCAATAAAAAAATATAGTTATATTGTATATTTAACGAAGGACTAGGTAAATAATAAAAGATTTGTTAGTATACGCCATTGTAATGAATGTTCCACTTAACAACCATCGATGGTCATCAATTAGATCTCTTACTTCAACCAACGTAAAGTCGGCTGAATATAATTCGCCTTTAAAAAGAGTTCTATTTCTAAATACGGTTTCTAGAAGAGTAGAAAGTTGGTCCTTCAAACAGGATGCTGGTAAGCACATACCTAACACTATTAAATCCTATAAAAGATAATTAAAAAATTTGAATAAATTTCTAAAATTACTTATTTTATTTTTGATAGAAACTTACTTCGTCGGGTATTACAAAGTGATATTGTAAGGTGCTATTATGTCGAAAATTAGCAACAAAGAATTTCACTTCAAATGGTGGAAATTCATTGTCGTTATGATAATATTTCGAATTGTTTTTCAATATCTCTGCTGATAATAGCAAGGGATCTCTGTTTCCTGCATCTTCGCATTGACTTTTGCTACCCAGCCAATAATTATTTTCATTAATGAATCCTGGTCTTGGTTCCCCGCTTGCATCAATTACTTGATAAAAAAAAGAAAATACAAAATTCATACTTTTGTTCATCGAATCTAATTTTTATATGTGGCTTAGGAAAATAACTTATATAATTATTTATTATAATATTATTATAATAAATAATAATAGGTGGTCACAGTTTAATTTTGAAATGATAATCTTTAAAATAAGTAATTATTTTCTTTAAATAACAAAAATAAAAAATTTCAAATCTCTAGTAATAGAAATTATTTTTCATTACTTTCACATACCTTTTAAACTCCATAATATGTGCTGATCAACGGCTTGTCGAAATTCAGTAAGTTCCTTGCCACATTGAGTTGAGTTTAAGAGTTCTGCATTTGCTAGCATTGCATAAACTGGCAATGTATGTGTCCTCCATTCTTTCGTTTCATTTGCCGTACAATTATTAAAAATGAAATTAAATGCTGCGAAATACTTTAACAATTGAAATACTAAATGTGCCATTGCTTTATGTTATTTTTTTCTGGTGTATCTTTCTTGTCTATTTTTTACTCATATAATATTCGTCGTAAGAACTTTCTCGATTCCTCACTTTCACTTTTTTGGAGAATATCTCTTTTACTATTGCACTGTATCTATTTTCGCAGATTACTCGGATATGAAGTTCTCTGGTTACTACGAAAATTTACTGATAAATAAGAAAAAGTTTTAAATTAAAATAAGAAATAAAACACGCAATTGAGTCAATAATTAACATATTTTCTTAGCTTGTCAGTCATAAAAATCCTTGTTAACAAATTGGATAAAACAATAAATGACGTTCAACAGAAGGTTTGACAAGTTACTCACGACTTGCTAATTTTATTTATAAATTGCTACAATAATAACTGTCACCTTCTCATTTTTCTATAAAATTGTAAACATTAGTTATACACTTCACTTACACTATTTCTTATCCTATTATTTTTTTCAGTTTATTGCATATTTTTGTGTAAGTATGAGGAATATCTTCACTACTTTATCTGTTCTTCGTTGGTTTTGGTCGACTAACATGCAACGAAGTTGACGTTGACTGAAAGAAAATGACCAGTATCCTTTTTTATAGGACCAGCAGGATGTATGTATGAAGAGAGAGGTTATATAAGTTTTTGGGACATCAACGTTAGCGATTCGAAACTCACTACAGGTTTAAGGCGCGAAGAAGCAGTCGGTACAGTATTGGTACACCGATAAAAAACTGTTTTGAAAATTCGGAAATTTTATAAATCCTTACATATAATAAACAACTTTGTACATAACATATTGACTAAAATTTTTTTATGCGGCGGACAAGGACCGCATAAAAAAAGTTGCACTTTGTTATGTCTCTTGTATAACAACCAAGGTAAGTCAAACGCTCAACACAGGTGATATTAATAATAGTATCTTTATTCTACACATAAACCAATAGAGTTATGATACATCGCGACATGATACTTTCACGACATCGTATCGAGTGCCGGCGGGCTAATCCATCACATATAGAGTGTTCTCACACGTACTCACTCGCACGCATACTGCGTCGTGAGCTACGCTTAACACTGCGCATTAACCGCTGACTTGCATGCATGACACACTTAGAAAATATAATACATCGATTGTATAAAAAATAAATAAGAAAATGCTTTCAAACAAATTAAATAAGTAAATTAGATCTGCAAATATTTTTAAAAGATTTAATTTTTTATTGTTTGTAAACGTCACAATAGCAAGACATGCCTGATCTTAGCTCTTTTTAGAATTTCAATCTGCTTTCGGAAATAGTTCCTATTTTAAGAAAGTGCGTTTCCAATATTTTTGAAATCAGGATACCTGCATATATTTTATCGGCAATAATAGATTCCGGTTCTACTTGTCCGTCTTCATAATCAATGAAATTACTGATAATGCCATTATCATTGACAGTTTCATCCTAAATCATTTCGTCTAGATCATTTTCGCCGAAAGTATTAAAGCCCTCTCCGCTAACATTCGTATTATTATTATTAATTTACATCAGGAACACGAAAGTTCAATGCCACAAATACCAAATCCCGTCATTGTTCTCGTTCCTGAACGCGACCCCTCCATTCACGGTCTTCGTATCCTATTTCTTTCAATCCCTCCTAATATTATCCTCCCATCTACGTCTCGGTCTACCTAGTGGTCTTTTCCCATTTGGTATACCGACCAATATTTTGTGCACCGTTCGATCCTCCCCCATGCGCGTTACGTGATCGGCCCAGCTTAATCGGCGTGATTTTAAGACGTTAATAATGTCCGGTTTATTGTACAATCGATGTACTTCTACGTTATGGAGTTTTCTCCATTCACCCATTTCCTCATCGTGTTTTGCACCGAAGATTTTACGAAGAATTTTTTTACGAAGGTTTTCGAAAACCCTAAATTTCTTTTCGTCTCGTAACGTAAGCAATCACGTTTCGCTACCATAGAAGACTACCGGTAGGATGATTGTCCTGTACATCCTGACATTTTTAAGCGCCTAGACAGCAACCGTGAGCTGAGTAATTTAATGACGGAATAAAAGCATACATTGCCTAAATTGATTTTTTTCTTGAATTCTTCGTTAATTTCGTTTGTCTGATTTATGATCGATCCTAAATACCTAATGTTGCTGACCCGTTCAAAAAGTTTATCCCAGACGACCACACTTCCAGTATTATGCATATTCTGAACTCTATCGGTGATTATATATTTGTATTTTTCCGCGCTTATTTGCAGTCCCAGATATTTAGTAATATTTATTAAAATTTTTGCCTTATAAATTAATGATTCTTTATTGTTCCCTAACAAAACAATATCGTCCGCGTATGTCAACAATTTTGTTGTCCCGTTCAACTGTAGACCATCTTTACTTTTCTGCAGTTCTTTGACAGTGAATTCCAGTACTAAATTGAACAAAAGAGGTGACAATGCCTCTCCCTGTTTTAACCTGCTATGGATACTAAAACCTTCCGACATTTGGTTACCTATCTTCACATTACCTCTAGTTTCCTTTAACCTCATAAGTCTAAACCGACCAATTGTCGCAAGCCCGAATTAATTGCAGCGGCGTTGTATTATATGCTGCTGTAGAAAATTTTGATTATATTTGGATTTTAAAAATTTTATTTGCCGAAACTATGTTCTAAATTGTTTTTTTTTTACATAAAAAAAAATTGATTTTTTTAGCAAGTTTTTTTCAATAAAAAAAACTGTGCATAAGGGGTTAAATAGAAGAGAAAAAAGATGCTAGATAGAATTTATGTACAATTAAGAGAGATGATACTTATTATATATGGCATTGATTATTTTTGGTCTTCGTTACTTGTTTATTTACTTTATAATGATAAAATGTTTTGATGTAAGCTCATCAATACCTCAGGTATACACTCTACTTCTTTTTAGGTGATAATTGGAAGAGAAGATGCTATGAAATTTCCAGTGATAAACATTTCACAACTAGAAAACGGTGTAACTAATTAATTACATTTAAACTCGCTACAAGTATGTAGCATTATTTATTTTCATAATTATAGTATGTATATTACAATATTTATAATGAATGATATGTATCTTTAAATATCTATATATGCAATTTAGTTTAAGATAGAACAAAGAAAAAAACTAAATTAATGGAAAACTGGTTTTCATTTGTCAATTTTAATATTTGTAAGTATAGTTTTATAAGATATTCGAAATTTCTAGTATATTGTGACGTCAATTTTTTTTGCAGTAGAATAGCTAAACAAAGAGTAACATTTAATCAGTAGTATATACAAAACCAATCGAAACTATTTTCATTAGTTCGCATAAAAGACAAGTTATCGCTATTCTCAGTTTTTATGATCAATATTTGGCAATCTAAATTTCAGTAGACTAAGCAAATGACAAACAGGACTTATTTTCAGTACTAAAAAGCAAAAATTATCGTATATTAGTTAAATAAAAATATTAATTACACTAAATTAAAACTTAGTATCAAAAACTGAACGCGCGTAAACTTTGTAGCTAACACAGACTTATCAACTAATACAACAGACTTACTAGCTAAAACATAAAGAACGGATTAAAATAAATTATGTATCACAATAATGATTGTAGTTTCTTCCTGATCTTGCAATGTGAAAATACTATTGAATTAGAGCAAAAAAAAAGAATCATGGTTTCTTGTTCATCAACTCCCTCAAGAAAAAAGCGTATGGCATTTCAAACATCAACGAAACAACGTAAGAACATATGTAAGTTACAATTACGTATCCTAAACCAGAAACTCCCTAAAAAAGAATACAAAACAATATAATGATATTAATTTAAAATTCATATTAATTTATCGATATGATAAAACAATATAGAATAATACATACATTTACTAGAACATTAAAGTGCAGGAAAGATTTACTTAAAAGGTTAAAAGAAATTATAAGAATTGGATTTAAAAGATAGGCTACGTAAGTCAATCTACTAAGTGGTTTCCTACCTTTCCACGAAAGAATACGATTCATTATACTTAAAATATAAAATTTTTTAATCAATAACGATTAGAAAGTAATATTACGTAATTAAAAAACATGTGTGCAAATCACACGTGTTAGAAGTGAAACCTTCAAAAATCTAAGTTTCGGGAGAATGAGACGAATGAACAGTTTTAAGAGTAAGATAATTGTAGGATTTATTTACTATAATATTATTGCCATATATAACAAAGATCACCGGTATGGTATTGGGTGTCTATGGTGTCTCATTCTCTCTCAGGCTCAATCCTATATATTTGTCTCTTTTTCTCTTTATCCCTACTACAACGTCCGTTTCCGATTTTTTCAAATCACACCCATTCTAAAAAAGTTTTTACTTCAAAAAAAGAATTAGACAACACTGTAGAATACATTAGAAGCAACTAACAAACTCCATTCAAAAGCAAGTAAATTACTGTCACATTTTTATTTTTCTTCTTCTTAAAATATATTTGACTCATAAAGACAAAATTAGTCTATTAAATTTGATTTTTATATGTTTATATAAAAAATATCCAAAGACATGTACTGACCCAGGAATACAAAAAAATTATATTATTAATTGTAATATTTGCGTATTTAAGAAGCTTTTTCTAATTATTCAATAAAATAAAAACATTTTTAAGATGTTAAACGCCCAGCGTGAATCGGTGGAGCTTACCACGGGGCCTAAATTTGAGACTCGTAGTGTGTGTAGTTCGATAAGCTGAGAGAGCGATACGATTCAATGCATTTTTTAGATTTTTCGTTGTTCAGATCTTTATCTAGACGAAAGTATTTGGAAAGATAAGTTTGTGGTCCAAAGAATAAGGACGAGATATGTTATAAATAATATGGGTCTCGAAGTGTGGTAGGCTACAGAGTTGAAAAAACATTTATAGAGAATATCTTTATTAGATCTTTCATTGCATTTTACCAGAACCTTCGTGCAGTCCAGCAGTATTTTCCATATGTTTTTCGTAACGTCTTTATTTCATCTATCCTAAAATGTTTGTTATATAGCACAAAAATGTAGATAAAAACGGGAAATAGAAAACCATACTAACAAAAAAAATTTTATACCTGAGTTTCAAAAAACGGATTATTTATTTTTACCTAATTTCTGACGAATTATATTTCCTTTGATAAACATCCTACCATTTTAGTGTCTATTTATAACTATCGCATTCAGCATTCAATTTTTATTGCTTTTATTGCTATATCTTACTCTTGATAATCAGCGTTTGTCTCAATCTCTCGAAACTTAGTTATTTGAAGGTTTCATTTCTAACATATGTAATCTGCACACATGTTTTTATTTTTCAAATCACCCCCATTCAAAAGAAGTTTTCACTTTAAAAACGTTTTTCATAATAGGTGTTCAAATTATTTCTTGAAACACTCTTTGTTTGTGCTAATATTTGAATTAAACAGAAAAATTGGATCATTTTATCGACCGATGGTTAGACGATTGTTATTCGTATTAGTTAGAGAATTATAAGGGTATGTAATTCAAAAAGGAATAGTAATTTTGTTTGCATTAACAAAGTTAAAAAACGCACCTGGTTGTTTTGTAAATCAATCATTTTCTAAATGGAAATAAAATCTTTGAAGTTAGACTTCTCTACGTTAACCTTAGTAAAAATTCAAGGTCCAACAGATAGTTTTTTATGGTTACTTTGTTATGTAAGTAGCACGGGAAACGAGACGCAAGATACAATTCATGTGCAAATAAGAGAAACGACTCATACTACACATGACATTGCCTATTCTTTTATCTTACTTTCGTATGAATTTTAAAATTTTTTGTAGTCATCCCACTGCTGCCTTAGGCGTTCATGCGCCGTTCTGTTCCAGTGGAATGAGAAAAAAAAATGC